TACAGATGGAGAGAATCTGATGCCCAGGGTGTGTGCTGGCATCATTCATACAAGAGATGTTTCTTTGGTGGCATGTTGTATCAGGCGTGGTGCTGGGAACAGCATCTGTGTCCTCACATAAGTCCAGGTTTAGAGGGCAGCTGGGGGGATTTACACAGGGACCCCATCGTAGCCAGGGAGATTACACAGGGACCCCAGCCTCTGTGGCACGCACCTGGGGCCTACTGGGAAGGAGCAGGGAGCCATGGAGGGTAGAGGAGGAAGTGCAGTCAGGTTAGAGCTTCGGAAGATCCTCTAAGCAGCACCTGCCTCTCTCAGTCCCAACTGCTTTAAAATTCCTCAAGAACGGACATCCAGATATCTTTGAATTGCGCAGCATTTGAACACGCTCCTGTCTATTTCTGTGTTTTTCTGGGGTCTGGGGCATCAGGGGCTCACCTGGCAGGAGTCCACCTTCCCGTCCAGGTAGCCAGCGCACAACATCCTGTCAGTGAGTGAGTGGCCGTACAGGCTGGCACACAGTGCCTGGTCCAGCAGTTCCACAGTGGCTTTCTGCAGCACCTCTGGCTTGACCACTGGCCCGATGGGGAGAGAAAAGCAGGGTGAGAGTGCCGGAGCCCTGGCAGCCACTTTGAGCTGGGAGGCTGAAGGACATCTCCTCTCCGAGCCTCCCTCAGTTTCCCCAGCTGCAAGCGTGGCCGCCTACAACACCTGGCTCTGAAACTGCAAAAGGTAAACACCCCACCTGGTAACACTCTGCCTGGACAAGGAAGAGGCATCAGACATAACACCCCCAGCCCGAAATCCTCATCTCCCCTCCACAAGCTCCGCCCTCAGCATTCCCCATCTCAGGGATCTCAGGGTCTCCTTCCAGATCCACAGTCCTCAAATTCCAAGTCGGCCTCAAGTCAGCCCCCAGATACACCCAGAATCAGCCCCTGTCTCATGCCCATCCTTGCCCGGGTCATTACAGCGGCTCCTCACTCACTTCTGTCACTCTGGTCCCACCCAACTGAAATCCATTCCCAACCCTGCAGCCAGCGCCACTCTTGCTAAACATTAAATCAGTCCACATCAACTCCAGCCCCGGGGCTGCCTTGCTGTCCTCCCACCCCAGGGCCTTTGCACATGCTGTTCCTGCTGCCCAAAATGCTTGTCCCTGCAGAATCTGTCTGACTTCCTCCTTCATCTCCTCTCTCCAGGAGGCATCTCTTGACCTCCCTATTTAAAGCTGCAGCCCCCACCCCC